GATTTTATTATTGTATAGTTTCATTTTTATTATTATAGAAAAATATATTTTAATAATATTAAAATAATCATATTTTATTATGATAAATGTACTTTTTAATATAACAATAACAGTCACTTTGTGATTCGAATATAAATGATTAAATTATAAATAACTAGTAATAATAATATTTTTTCATTCTGAATAGAAAAGGGTCCATTCAAAGCAGAAGACAACACCTGTTCTCTGATGTCTGAGGTGTTTGTATCCCTGTGCCATTCTTTGTGATTATTGATGGTAATTATGGGGATGAGCAGAGAACAGACTGTACCATCTGCAGTGCTAATGACATTAGTTCATGTTATCTAAATGTACCCGTTCCTCTCTCAATTCATCCCAATACATTAATCCCCGGACACAGTCTAGAGTTTTTTTTTATTTTAGACTATGTATAAAATGTATTACATTTTTAAAAAAAAATAATTTTCCATTACCCTCATAGATTTACATTTACTAAAAATGTACTGCTTTTTGTGAGCTGACAGATGACTTTATCTTTTCACATTAAAGTGCTAGTGGAAGTTTTTTGCAGTTTCAAATGTTCTAGCCAGGCAGAAAGCAAAAGACCAGTAACTAAGGGACATTTTTGATTTCTGTTATCACATGAGCAAATCAATGAGCAAAACGATCCAAAATCATGATATAGTGACTGACTTTTGATTACAGTATTACATTCATTTACATTTTCCTTTAAAAGGAACGTCTGTCCAGTCAGATCAGCCACTTTACCCAACAAGTTTGTCTAGTTAGCATGGTCCAGTTAGCAACTGCTGATGCCCCAACTGTCTTTCTCCATAGACGGCCATTAAAAAGTAGACATGTATGCTTTGCGAGTAACATATACATATCCTTTGTTGTATATTTTTCCCTCCCTGCTACTTCTGGGAGTCCTGCACCAAAAACTTCCACTGAGATGAATGGGAATGCTAACAGATACATCTCTTCAGGTATTATAGACCTCCCCACCCAATTCTGTCAAAAAAGTTCCCTTGAAACCAAAAGAACAGAAAGGAATTTGTCTCAAAGGATGATGATCTTCTCACAATCTGGCATTGTTTCCCTCTAAACTGACAATAGTTTACAAAGCTTTCTGTAATAAAAAATTAACAAGCAACAGAACATTCACAAACAATTAGTAAGTAGCTACTCTATTATTCAATAGTCAGTGGAAGGGGTGTGTGGATGAGCATATTAATATAAATATTAATTGATCTTCAGAGAAGAACAATGACTTCAGTGAAGCTCTAGGAGAATGTTGTGATTTCTAATTTGGTCAAAGGCAAGAGGAGCGTCTCCCGTTCTCTCCTACATCCTCACACATGCACAAGGGTCCGGAGGAGATAGATCAACACAGTGTAGTATAGCTCTGGGAGAAGAAAGTCCTTCACACTCTTCTCTGCTTCTGTGAAGCGTTATGTGTTGTACTGTCAGGAGAGCCACTGCTTGGACACAAATGTCAGAGAATTCAAAGCCATATGCACCACACTTCTGTTTCTGAGGGACTGATCCATCTGAGGAACACACTGTATCTTTCTTTGTTTTGAATTTTGTTGTTAGTTACTAAAACCTTTCAGGTTTAAATGGGGAAAATCTCAGATTTCCACCTGTAAAACAAGAGCCATTCAAAATACTACAACAGATACTCAAAGAAGATATTTTTAAAATCTTGTTTTATAAAGAAAAAGAAGAAGAAAAGATTTAGAAAAAATGCCTTAGGGTTTATTTAAAAAAAAATTGGCAACAGAACATATGCAATGTTATTTTGGACGCCACTGATTTTCACTGTATGAACAAACACAGTTGAAACATTCTTCAAAATATCTTCTTTTGAAAAAAAAAATAAATAAATGAATACCTGATCATTAAATTAGTAAATTAATTATCATTATTATATCAAATTAATAATTGACCATTTAATTAAATGATTATTCAATATTATATTAATAAAGTCATAATTAAATAATCATACAATTTATTATTATTAAAGTAATGTCATATATACAATAAATAAATATATTATTATTTATTTATATCATATAATTTAAATATATTATTAAATAAAATGTATATTTGGAATTTATTTAACATTATAATTGTAATTAATTAAATATCATAATATTTAAAATATGTATATGTATAATATGTATAACATTGAAATCTATATTACCGTAATATATTATAAATAAATTAACATTAATATTATTTATAAAACATATATTTATTATTCATTTTCTTGTTTTACAAAGTTGTTGTCGTTGTTTGTTTGTTTTTTGCCTATACAAAACTCCATTGACTTTTATTGTGGACAAAACAGTCTTGAAACAGTTCTTTTTCATGCTATACAGAAGAATAAGTCATACAGGTTTGGAATGACAAGATGGTGAGCAAACAATGACATCATTTTCATTCTTGGATAAACTGTCCCTTTATTGTGCGCACATACTTTCTGAATGCCTCTGAGTTTCCACGGTAACACTAAAGCTGTTGCATGTGCGTAGGACAGTGTTTTTTCCACCGTATGTTTTTTGTTTTCTGCTTTTAGCATATAAAAGTGCAACTTCGGTTTCATCCGAGCCGTGCAGCAGATGTTTGGTATCTCCTCAGACCTTGGTGGAGTAATAAAGGAACAATAAACACAAACAGAGCTGCTTTTTTAATACGATTAAGATATGAAGATATCAGCTTTGACTTAAGGCATAATGACTGAGTAAAAAGTCATTACCTCATTTGGAATTTAAAACAAGCGGGAAATCTTATTGTTGCTTGTTGATACTCAGGGGTGTGGGTTTTTTTTGTGCAATATGATTCTGTAACTGCACAGTAATACATGATTCCTGTATGAACATGAGGCAATATATAATAATACACAGTCTTGATAACAGATTATTTCTACACTGGATACAAACAAACATACCTTATTCTGAGGGAAACTCTAATCTGTTACCAGGAGAATTTGAAATCCAATATTATGTAAAATATTACAGATATGTCTGGAAGCGGATATTTTAAGGTGTGCTTATCTGTGCCATAGGCTTGTGTGAATATTGACACACGTTATTAGCATCTGGTGTGTTTTGTGTGTGTGTGTGTGTAACAGTGTGCAGTTTGTTTCCTCCATTTTGGCAAGAGGGAGTGTTTGTCACTGCCAACAAGCCATTCAGAGGCCTGCATGGGTGACAGAGGCGAATTGGCATGGTGACGTGTTATGACAGACGGCCAGCTTTGAGCGACCAGGCTGTTAGTGTAGCTGTAAACCAAACACAGACATGCTGACTGCTGTATAAACACACAGAGAAAGATAAGAAAGATTGATGATAAATATATATCTTGAGAGAGACACACACATATATACACTAAGCACATATTCCTATAAATCCCTTTAGTTCAACGCATGTATTATGCAGTGCAGCTCCATTTAAACAATGGCTGGTTGTGCTTGAGGGCCATATTTCTCCTCTTCCTGCCTGAAGATCTCTGTCTTAGATAGGTCACATTGCATCTATTCCATGTGGTCCTCCTGTCGGCCCCTTCCTTATAGTTTCAAGGTATAACACAGTGCTTTCACTATTTTTGCATCATGAAGAATACATACTGTGCATAGTATGAGAACTTTCTGTATGCATGGGAAGCCTAGGTGACCTACAATTTGACTAAATGTGCCACATACAACCTGATCACATTGCGTAAGATGTAGTGTTCCAGAATACAATATGCTTGACTTGACTTTGTATTTAACTACAACACAGGCAGGCAATGACAAATAAACCATAAATAATAGTGATTTTGTTTGTTTAAGTTTTATGAATGGGCTGGCAAACTTCACATTTTTAATTAAATGATAATTTATTAAAATAATAAAATAATGATTGATTACAAAATCTAAATAATTGACCATTAAATGAATTCATGAATTTATACTATCTACATTATAAAAAAAATGTAATGTAATAATTAAATAGTTATTAACAATTATTCAATTAATATCCTAAAATATATAAATCTATAGTATTTAAATGAACCAATATTAATGTACGATCATTAAATTCTACATTTCCTATTATCTATCTTGTTTTACAAAGTATTGTTTGGGCTTTTTTGGCACTTTTATTTAAAGAAAACTGCAATAGTAATGGTAAAATACACGAGCCGGATTTGAGCTCATGCCCACATTGTGCACTTAATTTAATAACCACAAGGCCATGGCTCTGACAATATACAATACAAAAAAAAAAAGTGTGCGGTTTGCATGGCCTGCAGTAGCAAGTGTGTTAGTATTCTATTCCAAACACACCCTCTTTGGTGCATCTTATAGTTTTTTCTTATGTGTCTCATGACAGTAGCACCAGGGTTTGCGAGGATGTGAAGGCCTTGAAAAAGATTTAGACAGAGAGATTTGATTTGATATGTTGTGTTGGAACTGGAGAGCTTTATTCATATTGCTCTGTTATAAAATGTGCTTTTCATCAGATAGAGCACATGAAGAGACAAGCATGGATGGAATCATCAATAAGGAATTATCACATTTAATCCTTTGCAACATGCTGTATCTATTTGTCATGAGTGCATATTGTGTGGTATTTTTCAAACAATGATGCCTCTCATCAATATTCTTAAATCTCAAGTCTTCATCATTAATCTCTCACAGTTCCCTTTTGACAACAATAATGAAAGGATCAGTGTAACGCCAGCTGTAGCTCCATCTTATCAGTTATTGCTCGTGTAACTCAAGCCCAACAGATGTCTTTGTTCAAATAATGCATGAGTTGTTCACTCCATTACATTTTATGTTGGAACAACATGAGGGTTAGTAAATGATGACTGAATTTTTAAGTCGTCATTGTCTTGTTCTGAGAATATAAAGTATACACACCTGTATATTTGCGTCTGTTTTTCTTCCAGAGCTTGCAGAATAAAATGACCACCAGGCGGTGAGAAATGAGTGTGTGTTGACTTTCTTCATGAGGGCTGAGAGATGACCATGAACGGCCGCTGGTCCTTCAACACCCTGGCCGTCATCTTTATCCTGCTGTCCACTGCAGGTAAGCCCAGATCAAACAAGTATTCCATATGAATATTATTTCCATGCAGGTTTACGTTTTACATTAGAACTCGGTCAAGCACATGCCCTCAGAAGTCATGACTTGGATTTAATGCTGACTGAGTCACAATTTTAAGGATCTGACTTGGCAGAAACTCTAATTCAATTTGGACTTTCTCACAGTTACTGATAACTGCATTTGGACTGATTACTCAACATGAGATATTTAAGATTGAACAATGGCCTAGTTGTTCTTTCTGCCCGGCAAAGTGTGCAGTGATTTGTTAGACAAGTATCAAACATGTGCAGAGGGTAAAGTAATGTCTAAGATGTCACTGAAAGCAATTCATGGGCCATCTAGCATGCACAAAATAAACTGAAACTTCTTTAAAAAGTTAGTTTACCATTTGTGTAGCAGTTCCAGGAAGCAGTGCAAACAGTCAAAAAATCTGCTATTTATTATTATTTTAAAAATAAAAAATTAAATATAAAAATGTTTAAATAAATGCATTACATGTTTATAAGAAATGCGCTGTAAATATGCACAGACCACATCAGAAATGTAAGAGAACCTGACTGGGACATGCTTTTCAATGTCTACTCTGAAAGTAGACAATGTCTACAACTTCCCTTACAAGAATGAACCATGGTTTTACTAAAAATTAAAAAAATGAAAAAAATTAAACAAATTAATTAATTAATAAAAAATGTTATAAATATAAACATGATTACTATAGTTAAATCATGGTAACCACAAATTAACCATGGTTTTGCTACACTATAACCATAGTTTAACCATGGTATTTGTACAAATGTGGTTATACAAATGGTAATCAATACGCCAAAAAACATGGTTACTACACTTTTATTATAATAATCCATGGTTAATTTTCGTAATGGTTGTTGGGGTCATTTCCATTGTGGTCTGTGCTACTTGCAATGCTTTTCTGTATTTTGAGTATTTGCAGCACATGTTTTGTCAAACTGATTAAGATGTTTTCTTAAGTTGCAGCACGTTGAGCTCTCTTGGTCACCGTGTAAATATATAAATAATGTTGTGCTTGTTTTTGACTACCACAAAGCAATTAAAAGATGGATGCAATTACTTTTTATAATTAATAAATTATCATAAAACCCTGATTTATAAAATATGATACATAAAGATATATGCCGATTATTATTTTTATTCATTTATGCCAAATAAAACAATTGCCATTTGTGATCTGCTAACCATCCTGCACAAAAACCTGCAAAAGTCAGATTTACTTAAGACTTATTAGTCAAAAAATGATGCATTCCTGACCCTAAAAAATAAATATATTATTGCACACTATATATTGATTTGTATATTCATATTGCTGATTAAATAACATTGTCTTAATTATGAGGTCCCAGATGAAGATTAGATCACATACTCGAAACTGTGGAATTCATACATGGTTCATTCTGGCAAATTTGACATACAAATGATCTCTCAATGAGTCTTTTCTGACTTTTTAATAAACCTCTGGTTCAACAACTTGCATCCAACTCACATTCAACTTAATTCAATCTGAATCTAATGTACTTTTTTCACTCTTGAGCTCACTTCCCAGCAAACTCACTAAATGGAAATCTTTATGCAAAGCATAAGCCGCTACTACTGTTCATCTGCTCGACAGATCCTCGCCGAACATTTCATCAAATGGCCCTCAGATGAATTCCATACCTAAAACCATTTCCCGTAAGACAAACAGCCAGTACAAAAGACGATTCTGCCATTGTATTAAAGGCCAGGGCAGATGTTTGGATCGAGCTCCGAAGACTATACTGTTGTAACAGGATGTAAGAGAGGGAGAGGCATTGAATGAGAGAGATATTTAGAGAAATACTTGGGGAATATTTTTTACAAATACCTTTTCATTTTGTAGTACCGTTCACTCGCTGTGTAAGACAAGCGGAGCCAGACGTACCTCACTCAGGGGGAATTCACTATGAATGAATTGTGCCTGTTGATAGTCGTTTATTTGCAAATGATGTTTGTGTTGTTTTAGCATCCGATTCACTAAAGGAATTATGCAAATCAGCTAACGGCCCAAACACGGCCAAAAAATTGTCTGAATGCAATTTGCATAGAGCAATTCCCAATCTTGTAAACCACGGTTGAGTGCTATGTTGTGGATAATTCAGGAGTATATTGCAATCTGGCATACTTGACTGTACAGTATTGATCCATATATATTTTTATTTTAAAATATATAAAAATATATATATAATAAGATTTTTTTTATTCAGCGAGGATGCATTAAATTGATCAAAGTGACTAAGTTTTTAGTTCAAATAAATCCTGTTCTTTTTACATTTCTGTAAAGAATCCTGAAAAAAATACAGTTTCCACAAAAAATATTAAGCAACGTAACTTTTTTTCAACATTGATAATAATAAGAAATCTTGAGCACCAAATCAGTATATTAGAATGATTTCTGAAGGATCATGTGATACTGAACACTGAAAATTCAGCTTTGCCATAACAGTAATAAATGAAGTTTTAATATATATTAACATAGAAAACAATTCTTGTATTTAATTATATGGTAGTGTGTATACATAGTTGCATGAATAATTTTATTTATATATTAATGTAATTTTGTGGCTGATTTGACTGCCACAAAGCAAAAATTGTTTCTTTATGAACAATTAAATTAAACTACTGTAATAGATAAGCTTCAAAAATTGTAAATGCAATGAAAAGAATTTTTTTGTGATCAACAAATTAAACACCAATTTATTAAATATGATGCATACACATATATGTATAATATACATAAAAAAATAGAAATAAACAAATTACTCAATGTCACATTTCAATGCACATTTCAATGTTTAGTGAATTCATCCCAGGATATTTCAACAGACAAGCGGAGCCAGAAGTATCACACGCAGACTTTTGAGATTGTCTATGTAACTCCTGAGCCATATCTCACCCGAGACAGAAGAGATAAATATCTCAAATGAACCAAAACCTGTCCCCAAAGTGAGCACGGCAAGTAGAGAAACAGTTATTTTTTTTCACAAACCTAATGGCTGAACATCATGGAGAAATGGCGCACAGTGTCATTCATAAACCATTTTGCTGCCGTTCTCCAGTGAGAACAGACATGTTTATTCTAACATAGACAGACAATTACCCAAAAGTAACTTGAGGACAAGGCCTGTGAATATTTCATATTTCTTTCATGGAATGTTCTTTACAGTCATGTAATTATAATGAGCGAGAGCTACAGTCCACCATCATTATAAAACACAACCAGGTAGATCTGCTCTCTCTGCCAGAAGAAAACACATGCTGACTCCCCTCATCTGCCAAAACTCCCACAAGAGGGTGAACTTTCACCTTTATGAGTCCACACAGCTCTTGTTTGGCTTCATGAGGCATTCTACTCCATCCAAAATCTGCCGTTCCCTGAGGTTAATAGTCATCAACCTATCCACTTATGGTAACGTCAGTATCTTTAAAACATTTAGTGGACTCTCTTGACTAAGCTCACTTCAATAAGCATGAACGATATCTCTATTCATCTTTGGTTTTCTCTGAGCAAATGTCTCGTGTGCCTTTTGTATGCAAAGAGAGATGCCATGGAGCACTTTTCAGCATTCAGACATATCTCTCTCAACTGAACTATCTGAAAGAGCAGAAGTCTGAAGAAGAGCACTTGCCAAGCCCATTGTTAAGTAGGACTGGGAACAAAAAAAACACAGGAACTGAACGATTTATGACTTTTGGTTCCGTTTACAGTTCCTGAATGTGCATTCTTCCACCAACACGGATAAAACACTGTACTTTTGCACTTGTATGGAACCTGGGAACACTGGAATCAAAAACACTTATGTCTGAATGGATACTGAAATAATCGGTCTTACTTACTGAGCACAAGTCATTAAATCGGTGTCGCTTTTTTTTGACTAGTTGTTCATATGACAATATTAGTTGCATAAAGTAGTTATTTATACTGTAAAAGTGACTGAATAATTCAATGAACGATTAAACAATTGAACAATACATTTTAGTTTAGTGTTTTTATTTATTACATAGGACCAATTAATAGATTAATAGACCAATTAATATATTGCATCAACACACATTTGTGCTGAATTAAAAAGAATAAATATGCTAAAAAATGAAGCATGGTGTTGCTCTTTACATGCTAAAAATTGCATTAGATTTATTCATGTTTTGCTACATCTTGTTGTTTTGTTGAAGACTAAAATATTCTTATCATTTGTCATCAGACTGCTGAGGGCAGTAATTACATCACTTATTTCTGAATATTTCACTAATGAAACTAGCACCAAACCATCATTAAGCTATGGAAGCCTGTTTCCACCTTAGAGCACCAAATAAAAAAGGTAAAACAGTTAAAAATTAATAAATAAAGTCACAACTAAAAGATATAAAGTCAAATTGCAACACAAAGCTACATAATATGCATGATACACAATTAAAATACATTAAAAACAGTAATATTGTGAAATATTATTACAATTTAAATTCATTGTTTTCTATTTTAATAGATTTTGAAATGTAATTTATTCCTGTGATGGCCAAGCTGAATTTTCAGCATCATTACTCCAGTCTGCAGTGTCACATGATCCTTCAGAAATCATTCTAATCTTTTTATTATCACTGTTGAAAACAGTTATGCTTAATATTTTTGTTAAAACAGTGATAAATTTTGTTCAAAAGATCAGCATTTATTTGAAATATAATTTTTTTGTAACATTATAAATGTCACTACTGTCACTTTTGATCATTTTAATGCATCCTCCTTATTGAATGTTTTAGTGTACATACCGAAAATGGATTCTGTGGTCATACATGATTTTAAGGGTTGATGTTATGGTTTCAGATCTGTCAGACAGGTGGACACATTGCACATACATTCACATTTCATTCTCACTTTACTTCTGGTGAAATGAGCATGAACCAAGGTGTTGCCTGTCAGCACAGAAAACCAT